AAGGCCCTGGCTCAACCCCAGTATGGGTGGGTGGGGGGGTCATATAGGCAAAAGGCTCAGCCTGGCATGCAGAAACTGGTGTGCAAACACTCCTAGGAGAAGCATCCCGAGGAATTTATAATCACACGTTCACAGGTGTCGTCAGTAGGTTTCGCAGAGCACGATGAAGTGGAGATTTAGGGGAAGGAGGGTTATTGAGGAGCAGCACGTTGCGGTCCACACCTGCCTGGGTGTAAAGGAAATGGATTGTGCCCACAGCAGTTGGCCTCGGATGGAGACGAGAGCCCTCAGCTGAATCTTCGTGGGGCTGTGAAGCTGGGATGGGAGCCTGGGGCCTGGGCCTTCACAGCCCTGCTTCAGTCATCATCTGGTTGTGCAGCTGGGGTGGTACACTCCAGACAGAGAGCCTTATCTGAGACTAAGCCCTGAAAAAGGACTCGATTGTAAGCATGCTCAGCAGCCACTGGGCCACGGCATTCCTAGGAGGTCTGTTGAACTCTTACAAATCCCTCATGATCCATTCTTCATAACTCCTCAGCGTGCACTCTGAGCTTTGCTGGCCTGCTTGGTTCTGGTTTGGACTGAGCCCTCAGGGCTGGGAGCCTGGAAGGGGTGAGTTGTATTTTTGTCTTTATTGCTTTGAGGCTGGCAGCCTCAGTCCCAGCTCCATGCATATTTATGGGAGGGCCATTTGGGGTCTGCAGGCTTGGGGTCCTGCTGCTTCTGTACCTCTCTTTTATTTATTCATAAATCATTAAAATGAAATCAAGTTAAACTTTAGTGCTCAAACCAAAAACTAGATCACTCCCAATCCCTGGCTTTTTCCTGGTTCCTGTGTTACCTCGAAGCCTGCACCATCTTGAGTTTTATGTCACGATAAAACAATCATTATCACAAGTAGCCAAGGCAGCAAGCTCCCCCATTTTCCCAGGTGCTCCTGGACATTTCCCAAGTCCACCTGCTGCAGGGCCATGTGATGGTTCCAGCCAATGAAATGTGAGGAGACTGCAACCCTGCCCACTGCAGGGTCACATGACTGGTTTCAACCAATGAAACTGAGCAGAGGTGGCATCTGTCTCCCCGGGGCCCAGGCCAGGGGACAGTCCTGTAGCCTTTCTGACCTCCACGGCCATGGCAAACATGGTATCCATGGCCCCTGGGTCCCTGAGAGACTGTGTGGAGTAGAGCACCCACAACTGGCAGAACAAGTCCCTGAGGAGGAAGAAACCCTTATGTGAAGTCTCTGAAATAGGGAGGCTATTTGTTATGTAGCATAACCTAACCTAAGATTTGCCCAAGGCAGTGTGGTCCTTGGAAGTCTGTGTCATCCAGTGAAACACACCTGAGTATTCACAGTACTCTTCCAGTTGCCGCCCCTTGACTATGTCTAGCTTGTGACTCAGCCAACAGAAGGGGACACAAGTCACCCTGTGCCAGTTCCAGGCCTGAGCCTTAAGAAGTTCTAGCAAAATGACTGCTTTTCCATTCTGTTTGTTTTTTGTCTTTTGAGACAGGCTGGCCTCAAACTCACTGCAATCCTCCTGCCTCAGCCTCCTGAGTGCTGGGATCACAGGCGTGCGACCTTGCTTTTGCATTCTTAGGGCCCTTGAGTCACCATGTAAGATGTTTCACTGGGGCCAGGGATGTAGCTCAGTGGTAGGGTACTTGCCTAGCAGGCACAAGGTCCTGGGTTCCATCCCCAGATGTTCGATTATTCTAAGAGCACCGTGCCAGGCCGGGAGAGGTCACATGCAGGGTAACCAGTCCCCCCAGCTAATCCCCCAGCCACTCCCACCAGCCCTGAGCAGGCCACCTTGGGGTTAATGCCCAGGCCCGAATGAATTCCCCAGTAAAGCCACAGAAGTAGAGCACAGAGCGGTTTAGTCAGTCGTTTGGAGAGTATTGTTTTCGTTTTTGGCGACTGCAGCTCTTTACTGAACGCCGGAGCGGCAGTCGGAGAATCGACCTAAAACTTCAGCATTGGGTAGAAGAAAATGGCCAGAACCAAGCAGACTGCTCATATGTCTACTGGTGGGAAAGCCCCCAGAAAACAGCTGGCTACTAAAGCTGCCAGGAAAAGCACTCCCTCTACCGGTGGGGTGAAGAAACCTCATCGCTACAGGCCCGGTACCGTGCCACTTCGAGAGATTCCTCGTTACCAGAAATCAACAGAGCTTCTCAGTCGGAAGCTGCCTTTCCAGAGGTTGGTGCGAGAGATTGCCCAGGATTTCAAAACCCACTTGAAGTTTCAGAGTGCAGCCACTGGTGCCCTCCAGGAGGCTATTGAAGCACACCTGGTGGTCCTATTTGAAGATAGTAATCTGTGTGCCACCCACGCTAAGAGAGTCACTATCATGCCCAAAGACATCCAGTTGGCCCGCTGGATAAGATACTGGGAGAGAGAGCTTAAGTGAAGGCAATTTTTATGGTGTTTTGTAGTAAATTCTGTAAAAAAAAAAAAAAAAAGAAGTAGAGATAACCCCTGCCCCGCCTCTGCATAAATATAATTGTGAGCGAACAGATGATTTTGGTTGTCACTGTGTGCTAACGAGGCTTGTTAATACAACATTCCAACAAGGTTCAGTTATTTTCTGTTTTTTCAATTATCCAATTATCCCTTCTCCTGTAGATGGATGGTCATTTGAGTTATTTCCAATTTTTCCTTCTTTGAGACAAGGTCTTTCTATGAAGTGCAGGCTGGCCTTAACTCACTTTATAGCCCAGGCTGGCCTTAAATGCCCAGAAGTTTTCCTGCCTCAGCCTCCTGAGTGTTGGGATCACAGGTGTGCAGTGCCTTGAGCCTTCTTATCCACACTCTGGGCACATGGGCAGTGTGTCTCTGGGTTTACATGTAGGAGTAGAATTGTCCCTCAATCTCCTGTCCTCAGTGTTGGGACCTCAGCATCAATCTGTCTCTTCAGGACCACTGGGACAAGTCTAGCATGAGTGCATGCTGGAGATTATCACTGCTTGCATTTTTGTGGAAAAATCCAAAGAAAATGGTGGCATTTCCGATACTGTGACAGCGAAGAATAGATACTTAGTGGCAAGGGGAACAGATACTGTCCCAGGAGCTGGACTTCAAAGCTCTAAACCTTTTCTGCCCCAGGTTCTTTAGCTCAGACAGCCTTCTGGATGGATGACCCTGGAAGAGTAGGAATTATAGCCCGGAGTGGTGGCACACACCTGGGAGCCTGAGGCAGGAGGACTGCAAGTTCTAGCCCAATGGGGGCAATTTAGTGGTTTACCAAGACCCTGTCTCAAAATAAAAAATAAAAAAGGGCTGGGGATGTAGCTCTTTGCAAAGGCCCTGGGTTCAGTCGTTAGTATCAAGAAGAAAAAGAGTGAGAATTACGCACTTTCTTTTTTCAGCAGGAAGATTAATTACGCATTCTTTACCTTTTTTTTCTAATAAATTATTTTTAAGCACGCGCAAGAAGAAGGTGGCGCATGCGCACTGCTCAGCGGGGAGGGCTTGCGCTGGGGCCGGTGTTTGCGGTGCAGAGCCATCGCCGGTCCCCTCCGCATGCCCCCCACCGGGGCGGGGGGTTAGGACTCATCTGCAGATGGGGACACAGAGGCCGCGGAGCAGCAGCTCACACTGGCCGGGGTCAAGGCGGCACGGCGCTGGCTGTGCCCCACCCCTCCTGCCTCCCAGCTGCTTGACCTCATCCCTGCTTCTAGGGATCACAGGCCCGCCAGAACCCAGAGGAAGGCGGCAGCTGCAGCCTGAGCCCCGACGGCTGGGGCCCCTCGGCAGCCGGTGCAGAGCGGGGGCTGGGTCCCTCTGTGTCCCGGCTGGTGGCATCGCACAGCGCAGTGGCCCCGGCTGGCAGGTGCGGGCCTCCATGTGCTCAGGGACCAGGCGCTGTGCGTCCTTCAACTCCGCTTCCCCCGGGCCTCGAGGGCCGCGGTGCGGGGCGGAAAGGGCGCAAAGGAGACGCAGGCACGGTGCACCTGGCCGAGAAGGGCCGTGGCGCCGCACACCCGTCCCTTGCTAAGGGCTTGGCTTACGCCCCCCCTCCCCGGGACGCACTGGTCAGGACAGTCCCCGGATGGGGACACAGATGTGCGCTGACCTTTGCTGGCCACCTCCCCCACCGGGCAGGGAACAGGCAGAGGGGACCCCTTCCTCCCTATCTTCCTACAAGGGGCCCCCTCTGCCCTGCTGGGGGCCTCGGGCCTCTGTGCTGTCACCGGTGAGGTGGGCGCCCTCCCGGCCGGCTGGGGTCCACTGCCCCCCCACCCCCGGCAGCTGAAACCCACGCGCAGACCCGGGCCTTGCAGGCCTCAGAGGAGGAAGCGCACATAAAGGGAAATTGTATGCAGTCAGCCTACCCTCCCGCGCCACCGCTGCGTTTTTTTAAGGAGTTGACATCAAAGTCTGGGAAGTCGCTCGGGCGGAACCTGAGAATCCCTTGCTCAGCAAATCCACCTGCAGTGCCCGGGGCCTCCGAGGCTGAGGAAGAAGAAAAGCCCTTTTCTTGCGCAGAAGCCAGGTACAGAGACCCCCAGGTTTCACACCTGTGGGGTGCACAGGCCTGGGCCGAGATCTGGGGGGCAAGGGGCTGGCTGCTGAGAGGGGCGTGGGAAGCCCAGTTCTCCTTCCAGAGAGCAGCAAGTCACCTGCATCGCCACCTCTAGGGCCCCAGCTGTGCAGACAGTGCCCCTGCAGTTGTCCTGGGCACAGGTCTTCGGGTCCACAGTGGGCTTATTTCGCACAATATATTTTAAAAATAGTTACTAATAGGCCGGGGATTTAGCTCAGTGGCGCTGTGCCTGCCTGGCAACCACAAGGTCCTGAGTTCGATCCCTGGTACCAAAAAGAAAAGGAAAAGAGTTAATACCATTGTAGGTCATCATCAACACAACTGAAAAATAGATTCCACCCTCCCACCCTATCTGAATTTACTATATTAAAAACCAGGTGCTGCTGGGTGTGGTGGCACACGCCTGCAATCTCAGCCCTCTGGAGGCTGAGGCAGGAGGCTCACCACGAGTTTGAGGGCAACCTGGGCTACATAGTGAGTTCAAGGCCAGCCTGAACTACAAAGTGAAAGCCTGCTCAAAAAGCAATAATAATAATAAATAAAACAGGGGCTGGTCAGCCAGCCAGGAGTGCTGCTGTTTGCGAAAACCTCCTGGGGTGATGGGTCAGAGGTACCTCCGGGTTGGTCTCTAGGCTTGGGGAAGCTGATCTGTGCGTGGGGCACAGGGCCCCCGGTGTTGCCTGCAGAAGGCTCAGGAGACCGCATGACCTGGGGAAGCCCAGGGGCCTGGGGAGGGACAGAGTCCGGGGGTGGGGGCGGGGCGCGGGGTGGTGTGTCGTCGTCCCCCCCACACCACCACCCCTCCCCATCAGGCCGGGCCGCCGGCCTTGCCCGGACTTGCCCGCTTGCATCATCGCGGGAGCCGCCCACTCATGGTGGAAAAAACCGGCTAATTATATCACCCGACCGGGCAGCTGACCCGGCCTGTTCCCGCTTGCTTTGCACGACTGGGCCTGATTGGTCAAAATAATAACAACTACCTTTTGCACGATTGTGCTTGATTTCTCAAAAATAACAAGCACCACCCAGGAAAGAGAAAGGAAGGCTGGGGTGGCTGTGGTTTTGTGCCCCAAAGAGCTGTGGTCCCCTGAGGCGACAGTGGCGACCTCCCAGCCCCCTGAGCTTAGCAAACCAAAACCCAGACCTGACTCCAAAACCAGGGCCCAGACCCAGCGGCTCTGAGGACAGGATGCGCTGGAGTCAGCCGTCAGAAACACAAACACTGCTTTGACAGCATCAATAACAGCAGCTTGGTCATTTATTTTTTCAGAATTATTTAAAATTCTATTTGTAGTAGAGTCCAAAGTGTGAGTCTTGTTTTTCCATAACTTCCTGTATTTATTTTTTGAGTGGATAACACAGTCACATGGTTCCCAGTCAAAAGATGCAAAAGGAGCCGCAAAGAAAACTCCCCCTTGACTCCCACTCCAGGTCACCGCTTCTCCCAGACACCGGCTGGCGGCTGTGACTCCTTCCGTGGCCCCATCGAGGTCCTTCTGCCAGGGCCCATGGGGCAGAACCAGAACTTTCAGATTTTAGACGGCCTGTGCCATCCCATCAGGCCCTGTCCGGGCGCCCAGTCATCCTGGACTGTCCCCGACTGTCCTAGCCTCACCACTGCAAATGCCATCTCCAAGGTACTCTCTCCATCGTAGGCAAACCAGGAGCACTATTCATGCTGGGCCTGGGGTATGGGGTGTATTAGAATCAGCAGACATCAACAGATAAAACTGCACATGGCTTTCCCTCCTTCCAGCTCTGGTTTTGCTGCTAACATGTTGGGCACAAATCAGAGAAAATACTTGGGTTTTCAGAATGATTTTGGATTTTGGAATAGGTGACATATTCTTTTTCTTTTTTTTTGAACCAGGGATGGAACTCGGGTCCTTGTGCTTGCGAGGCAGGTGGCTGAACCACTGAGCTAAATCCCCGGCCTGACATATTCTTTTAACACCTGAATGGAAACTCAGTGTTGGACACCTTGCTTTTGTTGTTGTTGTTCGTTTTTGAGACAGGGATCTCAGATGCTTTTTTAGTTCAGGCGGGCCTCGAACTCACAGTGCTCCTCCTGCCTCAGCCTTCTAGAGTGCTGGAATTACAGGTGCGCACCATCACACCTGGCTAATTTGAAGCCTTGGAGCTGGAGGCAGAATTCCTTCCTCTCTGGGGACCTCAGTCTATTGGCTCTTCAGGCCTCCGATTGGTTGGATGAGGCCCACCGTATTGTGCAGGGTAATCAGCTCTAGTCAGTCTACTGATTTAGATGTTAACACCTTTAAAAAAAAAAAACCTTCATGGGCGGGGATTTAGCTCAGTGGTTCCACCACCTGCTTCGAAAGTGGAAGGACCTGAGTTCAATCCCCAGTACCAAAAAAACCCAAAAAACAACTTCACAGCAAGTGAAGTTCACAGAGTGCATCGCTTAGCTAAGTTGATCCCTATCGTGAGCCATCACTCCTACTTCATACCCAGCCCCAGTCAGCCGGGAGTGCTTGTGCTGGCAAGGTGTGGCGGTCCCCACTTTGGCAGAGTTAGCAATTTGAGGACGGCAAAAAGTTGTGGCGGTGAAACAATCAATATGAACTGGCACCCAAACCCAAGACAGTCAGGCTGCACCTCCTCCCCTTCTTGTTCTTTTTAATAAGAACCAAAATCTTGTATACAGTGGACCAGGAGAGCAGCATCAACAAAACCTAAATGGGAGCCAGGTACGGTGATGCACACCTGTTATCCTAGCACTCAGGAGGCTGAGGCAGGAGGATCACCAAGAGTTTGAGGCCAGAGTGGGCAATTTAATGAGACTCCGTCCAAAATAAAATATAAAATAGGGCTGAGATGTGGCTCAGTGGTAGAGAGCCCCACCCCACCCCGGGTTCAATCCTCGGTATTGCAAAAAAGAAAGAAAAGAAAAGAAACAGAGGGAGGGAGGATACAGTAGGTGTAGCCTTGGAAATCAGAATTAGGAAGCTCCTTTCCCCAAACCAAAGGAACTAAACTTGGCAGGGCTGAGGTTCACGAAATGCTAGAGTCCCGCTTATGAAAAAGAAGAGGGGGTTGCAGACAGAGCACTGCCAGGCGGGAGGCCTCCTTCATCGACTCAGTGGAAATCTCCCCCAGCTGTGGCTGTGTGTGGGGGCCACATCTAGGAGTCACTTTTAGAACTTAAAGGACCAGAAAAACCCAGGCTCGAGGAGGACACAGCCAACTACTGCACCCCGATACCCCCAATCCACCCACAAGCTCTACGCAGTTTTCTTTGAGGTTCTCCCCTCTCCTGTCTCCTGCAACTGTAATACTAATAACAATAATAAGTATGCAGTAGCTCACACTTACTGGGCAAACTCTGTATGCCAGGCTGTGCCGGGTACTTCACCCATGCTCAGGCTCCGTTCATCTTTACCTTACTCATGTTATGACTGAGACATAATTCCTTTCATCTCCATTTTACAGATGAGGAAACTGAGGTCCAGATAAAAATGAAATTGATTCCCAAGCCCTCCAAGTGGAGCGAGGACTTGAACCCAGACTGGCTGGCTCCAGAGGCCAAGCTTGTAACCACTAATAGCAATAGCAGCTGACACTTGGGTGTGATCGCCCTTGCCTGCTGCACTTCTGGGCACTCCCGTATCTGCCGAGCACATCCTCCTGAGTGCGCTTATTACCCTACGTTACACTCGGGGCAATCCAGGCACAGAAAGGACTTGCTGCTCGCCCAGGTCAAGCAGCAGTAGAAGACAGAATGGGGCTGATCAGCTGCTTCCAGAATACGTGGTCTACCCCTCGGTGCAGCCCCAGGACAAACTGAATACAGGCTCAATAAATTGTCAATGAATCCTCCTTGAAAAAAATTTTTACAAAATATTTATCGATTTCATCTCTGGGGGAGAAGCGCTAGAGGTCTTTCTTTTTTTTTTTTTTTTTTGTACTGGGGATCGAATTCGGAACCTTGCGCTTGTGAGGCAGGCGCCAGAGCCACTGAGCTAAATTCCCTGCCTGACAGTCCTATGATTGTTTGACATTAGTAGTTCCTAAATGATCGTAGTATAAGAACATTGTTTATCGCAGAATATCTCAAGCTAGAGGTCTTTTTTTTTTTTTTTTTTTGCCG